GCTGTGAGCTGTGATGCCACAGCACTCTACCCAGGGGGAGAGCTTGAGGCTCTGTCTCAAAAAAAGAAAAAAAGAAAAAGAAAAAGAAACTACCAATGGGACTTAGGGAATGAGGCAAAGCACGATTTCGCTAAAGTGCAAGTAGTGCCACAGAAATTAAAGGAGAAGTTTATAAGTAAAGGATATTTTTTATTTTGAAAATTACTCATTTTAGTATATACTTAAAAATACCAAGCCTAGCTCGGCACCTGTAGTACAGTGGTTATAGCGCCAGCCACATACACCAAGGGTGGCGGGTTCGAACCCGAAATGACAATGACAACTGCAACAAAAAATAGCTGGGCGTTGTGGTGGGCACCTGTAGTCTCAGCTACTTGGGAGGCTGAGGCAAGAGAATCACTTGAGCCCAAGAGTTTGAGGTTGTTGTTAACTGTGATGCTATGGCACTCTACCCAGGGCAACATAGACTCTGTCTCAAAAAACAAAAAAAAACAAACAAAAAAAAACAAGTCTACATTTTAATAGATGTTGCTTCAAAGAATCCTAAGTTTAAGAAGTCAATCAGTGAAAATAGCACACTGTACCCCATGATTGCATTAATGTACACAGTTATGCTGTAAGAAATTTAAAAAAAAGAAGTTAATTAGGGCCAGGCATGGTGGCTCATGCCTATAATCCTAGCATTCTGGAAGGTGGAAGCAGGTGAATCACTTGAACTCAGGAGTTCAAGACCAGCCTGAACAACAGAGAAGCTATATCTACAAAAAATTTAAAAATTAGCTAGGCACTGGGGCATGTGCCTATAGTCCAGCTACTTGGAAGGCTGAGTCAGGAGGATCACTTGGACCCAGGAGTTTCAGGTTGTAGTGAGCTATGGCTGCCACTGCACTCCAGCCTGGGTGATAGAGCAAGAACACTGTCTTTAAAAATAAAAATTTTAAAGGAAACATTTTGTGAATAATCTCTTAAGGTTCTTATTTGCCCCAGCAGCCGTTAAATCCAAGACCTAAAGATCTCAGTTCTTCATACAAAAGAACTAATAGAATTTATTCAGGTTTCAAGGATAAGCCACAGTCTTAAGTATTGTGTACCACTCAAAGAATTACAGAACAAAGTCCTGATTGTGGCAGGGATGGCTGGCTATCCCCTCAATCGTCACTTCTCTTGCTATGTAACAGATTTTCAACTGAGCACATAACTGCCCCAAACAAACAAATTTACAACCCAAACCTACAGCTAAGATACAGCCAGGTGACTAAGTTTTGGCCAATAAAAGTGTCTAGAAATGACACAGGCAACTTCCAGGTCAGGCATTTGTCCTTGCCCACTGGCTGGATGTAGAAGTGGGAGTGAGTCATCCTGGGCCAGGCACATGAGGGCAACACCCTAAGAATACTGGAGCAACAAGAGGCAGAACCTAGGACTTGGTTCAGCAGAATTGCCACAAGGGTTCACTTTTATATGAAAGAAAAATACATGTTGGCTTGGAGCCCATAGCTCAGTGGTTAGGGCGCCGGCCACATACACCTGGGTTGGTAGGTTCAAACCCGGCCCAAGCCTGCAAAAAACAATGACAACTACAATAAAAAAATAGCCAGGGCTCAGTGCCTGTGGCTCAAGCGGCTAAGGCGCCAGCCACATATACCTGAGCTGGTGGGTTTGAATCCAGCCTGGGCCCACCAAACAACAATTATGGCTGCAACCAAAAAACAGCAGGGCATTGTGGTGGGTGCCTGTAGTCCCAGCTACTTGGGAGGCTGAGGCAGGAGACTCGCTTGAGCCCAAGAGTTGGAGGTTGCTGTGAGCTGTGATGCCACAGCACTCTACCCAGGGGGACAGCTTGAGGCTCTGTCTCAAAAAAATAAATAAAATAAAATAAATATATATTTTTAGACAGCATCTCACTATGCCTCCCTCAGTAGAGTGCCATAGTGACCTACCTCACAGCAATCTCAAAGTCTTGGGCTTAAGCAATTCTCTTGTCTCAGCCTCCCAAGAAGCTGGGACTACAGGCACCCATGAAAACGTCTGTTTATTTTTTGTTGTTGTTATTGTTCTTACAGTTGTCATTGCTCTTTCAGCTGGCCCAGGTCAAGTTCGAACCCACCAGCCTTGGTTTGTGCAGCCAGCACCCTACCTACTGAGCAACAAGCACTGCCTGATTAAATAATCTAAATGATTGGGGAGCTTGAGATATGAGGACAATTCAGCAAACTACCTTTACCTGACATCTAGGAAGTAATTAATAGAAATGAAGTTTTTACTTGGAAGATTGATAATATTGGTCTGTTGTCCTTAAGCAGCAAGAGGTAATATAGCAATAAAGGAGCAGCTCCATTTGTTTAAATTGTAT